GTTGTTTAAACAGGGAAATTTAATAGAAAAGAAATAGTATATAGTGGAGGGAAAAGTGATAGTGAAGAATAGATAGTAGTAGTAGTACTAGTAGTGCTAGTGTAGCAGCAGTAGAAATAATAGTAGTAGTAGTAGTAGGGGTTTGTAGTAGTAATAGCAGTGTAGTGTAGTAGTAATAGAAATAGCAGTAATAGTAGTAATAGGTAAGGTAGTGGTTAATGGAAAGAGACAATTATAGAAAACTGTCATCAAGTATTATATCAAAAAGAGTTAATAAATTTTTTTTTCACATCCAAAACTGACAAAGTGATCAAAACGCAAAAAAAAAATTCATTGTAAGTCTTAGATTTTGCCCTGTTTAAACCCACAACTTCACACGGTGATGGTGGCGATCCCCGGGGTTTGGAGTTATATGCTACCCATGGTCATAAAGATGTAGTATCCTGTTTTAAATCATCACGTCCCCTGTTTTAAGGCTGCACGTCACCTTTTTTAAAAGGCTGCACGCCACCTGTTTTAAGGCTGCACGTCACCTGTTTTTAAGGCTGCACGCCAAACTGTTTAGGCTGCACGCCACCTTTTTTAAAGGGCTGCACGCCACCTGTTTTAAGGCTGCACGCCCCTGTTTTAAGGCGGGCACGCACCTGTTTTAAGGCTGCACGTCAACCTGTTTTAAGGCTGAACGCCACCTGTTTTAAGGCTGCACGCCACCTGTTTTAGGCTGCACGCCCCCTTTTTTAAAGGCTGCACGCCCACCTGTTTTAAGGGCTGCACGTCACTGTTTTAAGGCTGCAGCCACCTGTTTTAAGGCTGCACGCCACCTGTTTTAAGGCTGCAGTCACCTGTTTAAGGCTGAACGCCACCTGTTTTAAGGCTGCACGCCACCTGTTTTAAGGCTGACGCCACCTGTTTTAAGGCTGCACGCCACCGTTTTAAGGGTGCACGCCACTTTTTTTAAAGGCTGCACGCCACCTGTTTTAAGGCTGCAAGCCACCTGTTTTAAGGCTGCACGTCACCTGTTTTAAGGCTGCACGCCACCTGTTTTAAGGCTGCACGTCACCTATTTTAAGGTTTGCCGCCACCTGTTTTAAGGCTGCACGCCACCTGTTTTTAAGGCTGCACGCCCCCTGTTTTAAGGCTGCACGCCACCTGTTTTAAGGCTGCACGCCCCCTTTTTTAAAGGGCGCAACCCACCTGTTTTAAGGCTGCACGCCACCTGTTTTAAGGCTGCACGCCACCTGTTTTAAGGCTGCAAGCCACCTGTTTTAAGGCTGCACGTCACCTGTTTTAAGGCTGAACGCCACCTGTTTTAAGGCTGCACGCCACCTGTTTTAAGGCTGCACGTCACCTATTTTAAGGCTGCACGCCACCTGTTTTAAGGCTGCACGCCACCTGTTTTAAGGCTGCACGCCACCTGTTTTAAGGCTGCACGCACCTGTTTTTAAGGCGCACGCCACCTGTTTTAAGGCTGCAAGCCACCTGTTTTAAGGCTGCACGTCACCTGTTTTAAGGCTGCACGCCACCTGTTTTAAGGCTGCACGCCACCTGTTTTAAGGCTGCACGCCACCTGTTTTAAGGCTGCACGCCACCTGTTTTAAGGCTGCACGTCACCTGTTTTAAGGCTGCACGCCACCTGTTTTAAGGCTGCACGCCACCTGTTTTAAGGCTGCACGTCACCTGTTTTAAGGCTGCACGCCACCTGTTTTAAGGCTGCACGTCACCTGTTTTAAGCGCACGCCCCCTGTTTTAAGGCTGCACGCCACCTGTTTTAAGGCTGCACGCCACCTGTTTTAAGGCTGCACGCCACCTGTTTTAAGGCTGCACGCCACCTGTTTTAAGGCTGCGCGCCACCTGTTTTAAGGCTGCACGCCACCTGTTTTAAGGCTACACGCCACCTGTTTTAAGGCTGCACGCACCTGTTTTAAGGTTGCACGTCACCTGTTTTAAGGCTGCACGCCCCCTGTTTTAAAGGCGCAGTCACCTGTTTTAGGCTGCACGCCACCTTTTTTAAAGCTGCCCCGCCACCTGTTTTAAGGCTGCACGTCACCTGTTTTAAGGCTGCACGCCACCTGTTTTAAGGCTGCACGTCACCCGTTTTAAGGCTGCACGCCACCTGTTTTAAGGCTGCACGCCACCTGTTTTAAGGATGCACGCCACCTGTTTTTAGGCTGCACTCCACCTGTTCTAAGGCTGCACGCCACCTGTTTTAAGGATGCACGCCACCTGTTTTTAGGCTGCACGCCACCTGTTTTGAGGATGCACGCCACCTGTTTTAAAACTGCACGCCACCTGTTTTTAGGCTGAACGCCACCTGTTCTAAGGCTGCACACCACCTGTTCTAAGGCTGCACGCCACCTGTTTTAAGGCTGCACGCCACCTGTTTTAAAACTGCACGCCACCTGTTTTAATGCTGCACGCCACCTGTTTTAAGGCTGCACGCCATCTGTTTTAAGGCTGCACGCCACCTGTTTTAAGGCTGCACGTCACCTGTTTTAAGGCTGCACGCCACCTGTTTTAAGGCTGCAAGCCACCTGTTTTAAGGCTGCACGCCACCTGTTTTAAGGCTGCACGCCACCTGTTTTAAGGCTGCACGCCACCTGTTTTAAGGCTGCACGCCACCTGTTTTAAGGATGCATGCCACCTTTTTTAAAGGCTGCACGCCCACCTGTTTTAAGGCTCCCACGCCCTGTTTTAAGGCTGCACGCCACCTGTTTTAAAACTGCACGCCACCTGTTTTAAGGCTGCACGCCACCTGTTTTAAGGCTGCACGCCACCTGTTTTAAGGATGCATGCACCGTTTTAAGGGCTGCACGCACCTGTTTAAGGGCTGCAAGCCACTGTTTAAGGCTGCCGCCCTGTTTAAGGTTTTGCACGCACTTTTTTTAAGGCTGCACGCCACTGTTTTAAGGCTGCACGCCCCCTGTTTTAAAACTGCCCCGCCCCCTGTTTTAAGGCTGACGCCACCTGTTAAGGCTGCACGCCACCTGTTTTAAGGATGCATGCCACCTGTTTTAAGGCTGCACGCCACCTGTTTTAAGGCTGCACGCCACCTGTTTTAAGGCTGCACGCCACCTGTTTTAAAACTACACGCCACCTGTTTTAAGGCTGCACGCCACCTGTTTTAAGGCTGCACGCCACCTGTTTTAAGGATGCATGCCACCTGTTTTAAGGCTGCACGCCACCTGTTTTAAGGCTGCACGCCACCTGTTTTAAGGCTGCACGCCACCTGTTTTAAGGCTGCACGCCACCTGTTTTAAGGCTGCACGCCACCTGTTCTAATGCTGCACGCCACCTGGTTTAAGGATGCACGCCACCTGGTTTAAGGCTGCACGCCACCTGTTTTAAGGATGCATGCCACCTGTTTTAAGGCTGCACCCCACCTGTTTTAAGCTGCACGCACCTGTTTTAAGGCTGCCGCCACCTGTTTTAAAACTACACGCCACCTGTTTTAAGGCTGCACGCCACCTGTTTTAAGGCTGCACGCCACCTGTTTTAAGGATGCATGCCACCTGTTTTAAGGCTGCACGCCACCTGTTTTAAGGCTGCACGCCACCTGTTTTAAGGCTGCACGCCACCTGTTTTAAAGGGCTGCACGCCACCTTTTTTAAAGGTTTGCACGCCACCTGTTCTAATGCTCCCACGCCACCTGGTTTAAGGATGCACGCCACCTGGTTTAAGGCTGCACGCCACCTGTTTTAAGGCTCCACGCCACCTGTTTTAAGGCTGCACGTCACCTGTTTTAAGGCTGCACGCCACCTGTTTTAAGGCTGCACGCCACCTGTTTTAAGGCTGCACGCCACCTGTTTTAAGGCTGCACGCCACCTGTTCTAATGCTGCACGCCACCTGGTTTAAGGATGCACGCCACCTGGTTTAAGGCTGCACGCCACCTGTTTTAAGGCTCCACGCCACCTGTTTTAAGGCTGCACGTCACCTGTTTTAAGGCTGCACGCCACCTGTTTTAAGGCTGCACGTCACCGTTTTAAGGCTGCACGTCACCTGTTTTAAGGCTGCACGCCACCTGTTTTAAGGCTGCACGTCACCTGTTTTAAGGCTGCACGTCACCTGTTTTAAAGCTGCACGCCACCTGTTTTAAGGCTGCACGTCACCTGTTTTAAAGCTGCACGCCACCTGTTTTAAGGCTGCACGCCACCTGTTCACCATCAGTCAAGAACACTAATCCCTAAAGTAGGGATTAAGGCAAACCTCCAGGATATGTACACTGACAGACATACTCTCTCAATGCAATATACACTAAGAGACGACACACACCTCTTTGTGTAATATACACAGAGAGACATACACCTCTTAGTGTAATATACTGACATACACCTACCGGTGTTTTACTTGATGAGAGACATAACCTCTTTGTGTAATATACACAGAGGAGACATACACCTCTTAGTGTAATATACTGACATACACCTACCGGTGTATACATGATGAGAGACATACACCTCTTTGTGTAATATACACAGAGAGACATACACCTCTTAGTGTAATATACTGACATACACCTACCGGTGTATACATGATGAGAGACATACACCTCTTTGTGTAATATACACAGAGAGACATACACCTCTTAGTGTAATATACTGACATACACCTACCGGTGTATACATGATGAGAGACATACACCTTTTGTGTAATATACACAGAGAGACATACACCTCTTTGTGTAATATACTGACATACACCTCCGGTTGTATACATGATGAGAGACATACACCTCTTTGTGAAATATACACAGAGAGACATACCCCCCTAGTGTAATATTACTGAATACACCTCCCGGTGTATACATGATGAGAGACATACACCTCTTTGTTGTAATATACACGAGAGACATACACTCTTAGTGAAATATACTGACATACACCTACCGGTGTATACATGATGAGAGACATACACCTCTTTGTGTAATATACACAGAGAGACATACACCTCTTAGTGTAATATACTGACATACACCTACCGGTGTATACATGATGAGAGACATACACCTGTGTTGACGATGTTGTAAAATACCGTCACGTTGATGAGTAAGACTCATGTTCAGCAGTTGGATACCTTTATTACTGAAACGTTTCGTCTACACGGTAGACTTCCTCAGTCGAATACAAAGGCAGCGGGTGTAGTAGCTATGTAAAGAATATGTAATCAGTCCATCAACCTTGGAGAAATAATATTTGAGGTTGTCAGTCCCTCAGCCTGGAGAAGAGTTCAGCTTTATGGTCTGAAACGATATGGAACTGAAGTTTGAAAATGAAGTCTTAAACAGTGGCGAAGGTGAGGTAGAAGATGTCAGAGATGTTGCATGGGATGGGATCCTCTAGTAGAAGCTAGAGTTCAAGAATACTGGAGAACTACTAGGCAGGTCCCACTGAAATCCAAACTTCTCACTCATAACTAGTAGTTCAGGGATGAAGTTGTGAAAGATGTCCACTGTACCAAGAAACCGTTGTGTTGCTTTGTCTGGCAGTTAGGTTGAAGACGGTATAAATTACCCACAAGTTGTTGAGTTGGGTATTTTTTTCGTTAGGTTCAGAATGATATTTGCGAAATTATTGCATACGCAAATTTTCGCTTGCCTTATTCGGCAAGAAGAGCGTTGCTACTTAAGCCAAGATCGCAAGTTTTACCTATTGGGCGCTAATATATATATATATATATATATATATATATATATATATATATATATATATATATATATATATATATGTATGTATATATATATATATATATATATATATAATATATATATATATATATATATATATTATATATATATATATATATATATATATATATATGTGTGTGTGTGTGTGTGTGTGTGTGTGTGTGTGATAATTAGTCTAATTATTACAGTAGGGTTCAGTAGTAGAGTGTTGGAGGAGCCGTTGCTGGTGCCTGCCTCTGGTAGGTGCTGAAGAAAGAATGTATAGCTGCGGCCACTTCGGGGATGTCAGGTACCTGGTTGGTGGAGTCACGGAGACCAGCGGGAATGGTGGCAGCCATGGGGCCGTCCACTTGGGCATGGTGGTATTGGCCGGTGTGGTAGTAGGAGGGGTTGTAGGCCTGTTGGAGGTAGGAACTGTACACTTGTTGAGGGCAGGAGCTGTAATGTTTCTTGGCGGATGCCTCAGCAGCTCTGAAAGCTTGGAAGAAGCGAGCTTTCTCGGCCGCCACTTCTGGAGTGTCTCCTATGACGGGTGCAGCCGAGCACACTCCCAACACTGCCAAAACAACCTGAAGAATAGAAAGGAAAACATTTTTTCACCGTGAAATACATTCAAGTTAGATTTGCATTGAGTAACATGCTAAATTATCATCCATGTATCTTTCACGATAATGAATCTCGGTGCAAAACAAATGTATTTACTAATAAATAAAGGAAATGGATCCACGAATGAACTCGATTAGCAAGAAATAACTCAGAATATTAATTTTGCCCTGGTAGATACTGTAATGTCAAATGCTCGCAGAAACACAGTCAATGAGGTCGATGTTTTGAACAAAACGACAAGCAAAAAAAATGACATTTATTATAAAAGATATATAAAAAAAGCAGACTAAACCACTTTTACTAAAGAACATAATCACCAACACCTGCACTGACCCAGAGGAACAACCATTTACCAGACCACCAACACCTGCACTGACCCAGAGGAACAACCATTTACCAGACCACCAACACCTGCACTGACCCAGAGGAACAACCATTTACCAGACCACCAACACCTGCACCTTAAAATACCGAGACCAAAACGAAAAACAAAGTCTTGTACAACCTCACTTGGCACCAGTGTCAACAGTATAATACAAAAAAAAATGTATTTCTCATCAATTTATACAGCTTTTTAGGTGAGGTTAGGTAAGCTTTAACAGGAATCATGACAAATATTTCCTGATGCGGGTCTTAGTCGTATGGTAACCCACAGCTGAAGCTTTTGGTAATCCAACCGAGGTCTATAGCTAACTTACCTATATATATAGCTTATATATAGCTAATATATAATTTTTTTTATATTTGGTGCCCCTTAAGTACTCGTTTTACACCATTAATTAGATACCTTCTATACAGTTAGTTAGTTAAAGATTAGCCGGTATTCTCCCGGCCCGGGCCTTGTCCAAGTGGTGGCCCGGCCTTGGCTCCCTCTTTAGGGAGTGTCTGAGACCTAAGTCTCCCATGGGAGGAGGTACAAGCACCTCCTCATCTTTGGGACCAACTGTCCCCAGGCCTAGCCACAAGCTAGGCCTCTCTGGTCTGCCATCCCGGCCCCAAGGGGGCAAATGGGAATGACAGTCTTATGAGCTAAAGGCTCGGGCTCAGGCACCTACCCTACCCTAGAAGGGTTAGGCATGGTGTCGATGCCTTCTATACAAAAATGTTTTTTCCCCTTTGCTAATTAGGTACTTCGTAACTATAATCTTAAATATATTTATGCTATTATTGACGTTTAAATAATTAGGTTTAAATAATTGGGTTTAAATAATTAGGTTTAAATAATTGGGTTTAAATAATTAGGTTTAAATAATTGGGTTTAAATAATTGGATTTAAATAATTGGGTGTAAATAATTAGGTTTAAATAATCTGGCTTAAAAATGGGTGCAAATAATTTGGTTTAAAGGATTAGGTTCAAATAATTAAATTTTCCATTCATTTGTTCTTTTGGACGTCATTCTCATACCATGGAGGTTTAACATCCTCATTTAAACGTTGCGTGGTTTTTTTTCTTCAGCCATATCGTTTGCCAGGTTTGTTAATAATTATAATAATAATAATAATAATAATCATCTTTATTTCTACAAGTACATGTACAAGGTATACAGACCATAGCTGACATCAATGACATACTACTATTATATAGAAAGTCACTTGTTATGCTGGGCATTCCGGGCAAATTAGGTCAATTTTATACCCAGGATGCGACCCACACCAGTCCAATAACACCCAGGTACCTACTTCCAGGTAAACATGGACAGACAGCAGGTATTTTAAGGAAACACGTACCAATGTTTCTACCTGTACAGGGGATCGAACCACGGACCTCAGTGTGTGAGCTGAGTTCGCTAGCAATTGAGCTACGGGAGGTTAATGGGGTTTGAAGCCTCTCGACTACATGAGGGTCGTCAAGGCTGCACCACCAGTCAGAAATATTTACACTGAGAGACATACACCAAACGGTGTATATATTCTGTGAACGTTGAACGACTTATTGCAACCGGTTCTTCTACTTTCTTAATTTGTGGTTAAATATAAGCTTAAATAGCTTTTATGTAACCTAACCTAACCTAACCTAACCTAACCTAACCTAACCTAGCCTAACCTAACCTAACCTAACCTAACCTAACCTAACCTAGCCAAACCTAACCTAACCTAACCTAACCTAACCTAACCTAACCTAACCTAACCTAACCTAGCCTAACCTAACCTAACCTAACCTAACCTAACCTAACCTAACCTAACCTAGCCTAACCTAACCTAACCTAACCTAACCTAACCTAACCTAACCTAGCCTAACCTAACCTAACCTAACCTAACCTAACCTAACCTAGCCTAACCTAACCTAACCTAACCTAACCTAACCTAACCTAACCTAACCTAGCCTAACCTAACCTAACCTAACCTAACCTAACCTAACCTAACCTAACCTAGCCTAACCTAACCTAACCTAACCTAACCTAACCTAACCTAGCCTAACCTAACCTAACCTAACCTAGCCTAACCTAACCTAACCTAACCTAACCTAACCTAACCTAACCTAACCTAACCTAACCTAGCCTAACCTAACCTAACCTAACCTAACCTAACGTAGCCTAACGTAGCCTAACGTAACCTAACGTAACTTAACCTAACCTAACCTAACCTAACCTAGCCTAACCTAACCTAACCTAACCTAACCTAACGTAGCCTAAAATAACGTAACCTAACCTAGCCTAACCTAACCTAACCTAACCTAACCTAACCTAACCTAACCTAGCCTAACCTAACCTAACATAACCTAACCTAACCTAACCTAGCCTAACCTAGCCTAACGTAACCTAACGAAACCTAACCTAGCCTACACTAACCTAACCTAACCTAACCTAACCTAACCTAGCCTAACCTAACCTAACCTAACCTAACCTAACCTAACCTAGCTAAACCTAACGTAACCTAACCTAACGTAACGTAACGTAACATAACCTAACCTAACCTAACCTAGCCTAACATAACCTAACCTAGCCTAACCTAACCTAACCTAACCTAACCTAAAATAACGTAACCTAACCTAGCCTAACCTAACCTAACCTATCCTAACCTAACCTAACCTAGCCTAACCTAACGTAACCTAACCATTGCCTAACCTAACCTAGCCTAACCTAACCTAACCTAACCTAGCCTAACCTAACTACCTAACATACCTAACTAGCCTAAACCAAAACCTAACCTAGCCTAACTTATACATAATCTAAAACCTAACCTAACCTAGCCTAACCTAACCTAACCTAGCCTAACTTAACCTAGCCTAATCTAACCTAACCTAACCTAGCCTAACCTAACCTAACCTAGCCTATACCTAACCTAACCTAACCTAACCTAACCTAGCCTAACCTAACCTAACCTTAAACCTAACCTAACCTAACCTAGCCAAACCAAACCTAACATAACAAACCTACCTAAACCTAACCTAACCTAACCTAACCTAACCTAACAAACCCTAACCTAACCTAACCTAACCCTTTACCTAACCTAACCTAACCTAACTAACGACAAACCTAACCTAACCAAAACCTAACCTAGCTAACCAAAACCTAACCTAACCTAACCTAACCTAACATAACCTAACCTAGCTAACCTAACCTAACCTAACCTAACCAAAACCTAACCTAACCTAACCTAACCTAGCCTAACCTAACCTAACCTAACCTAACCAAACCCATAACTTAACCGATACCTAACCTAACCTAACCTAACCTACCTAAAATAACCTACTAACCTAACCTAAACCTAACCCCTTAAACCTAACTAGCCTAACCTAACCTAACCAAACCCTAACCTAACGTAGCCTAACGTTAGCCTAACGAAAACCTAACGTAACTTAACCAAACCCTAACCTAACCTAACCTAGCCTAACCTAACCTAACCTAACCTAACCTAACGTAGCCTAAAATAACTAACCTAACCTAGCCTAACCTAACATAACCTAACCAAACCTACCTAACCTAACTAGCCTAACCTAACCTAACATAACCTAACCTAACCTAACCAGCCTAACCTAGCCTAACGTAACCTAACGTAACCTAACACCTATCCTAACCTAACCTACCTAAGCCAAACCTAACCTAGCCTACCTAACCTAACCTAACCAACTAACCTAACCTAGCTTAACCTAACGTAACCTAACCTAACGTAAGTAAAGTACATAACCTAACCTAACCTAACCTAGCCTAACTTAACCTAAACCTAGCCTAACCTAACCTAACCTAACTAACCTAAATAACGTAACCTAAACCTAGCCTAACCTAACCTAACCTATCCTAACCTAACCTAACCCTACCTAAACCTAACGTAACCTAACCATTGCCTAACCTAACCTAGCCTAACCAAAACCTAACCAAACCTAGCCTAACCTAACATAACCTAACATAACCTAACCTAGCAAAACCTAACCTAGCCTAGTAACTTAACCTAGCCTATTTCCTAACCTAACCTAGCCTAACCTAACCTAACCTAGCCTAACCTAACCTAGCCTAACCTAACCTAACCTAACCTAACTAACCTAAGCCTAACCTAAAGCCAAACCCGTAACCTAACCTAACCTAACTAGCCAAACCCTAACCTAGCCTAACTAACCTAACCTAACCTAGCCAACCTAACGAAGTAACGTAAACCTAAACTAACCTAACCTAACCTAACCTAACCTAACCTAACCTAACCTAACCTAACCTAACCTAACCTAACCTAACGTAACCTAACATAACCTAACCTAACCTAACATAACATAACATAATCTAACCTACCTAGCCTAACCTTAACCTAACCTAACATAATCTAACCTAACCTACAACCTAACCTAACCTAGCCTAACCTAACCTAACCTAACCTAACCTAACCTAGCCTAATCTAATTAACCTAACCTAACCTAGCCTAACTAACCTAACCAAACCCTAACCTAACCTAGCCTAACCTAACTAACCTAACCTAACTAACCTAAACCTAACTTAGCCTAAACGTAACTTAACGTAACTAACGTAACCTAACTAACCTAAC